TCCTGTGTCAATGCATTTTCCGTGTTCACAGGAAATACTGCGGTGTCACGCGAGATCACGTTCCTTCCGGCGCGCAATTTGAATGGCCAGATCTGTATATCTGGGCGACGCTCTCCTCGCTGGAGACACTCTTTATAAAATGTCTCCTCCCTTTCAGCAGTCAGAGGCCTGAGAGGCACATCTGGAAGCTGCGTGCCTTTCTTCAGGTTAAGGCTGAGATGGCGGGCTGGGGTGGAGGTTAAAAACGATGGTGACATGCTCAGTTCAGCGTTGCCCTGGTCAGAGTCCGGAGACCCAAATAGGCGACGTCCACAAGAGGAGTGTGGGGAGGGAGAGGTGAGCTGCCGCCGCATTGGAGGAATGGAGGTTCTGTCTTTTTCCAGCTGTTCCAGTCTCTGGGTCACATCCTCCAGCTGCGTCTTTAGGGCCGCACACCCCTCACACGGTCCCACTACCTCGGGTTGGGCCAGCCGTCGTTCGATTTTTGCCAGTCGACTTCGGAGGTCCCCGATCTCAGCAACTAGTGGATTCTTTGGTGATCCCAAGTAAACTAGCGGCGACGAGAGAACGCTAGCCTGCAAAAAAAGATATTATTTAATTATGCTATTCAAAAATATTTAATATTTTCTGAATTATATTTTATACATTATGAAACCAAAGCATAATACTGTACACAATATTAGAGCTTAACATATCTGAACTCACACCCATTATATATTTCATAATGTATTTTAATATACTGTAATATGCAGTATATTAATTCAACTTACCGCTCTCTTTTTCACCATTCTTACTTTTCCTCTCGTGGTGGGAGTTGCAGGTGTCCTCTGCTTTACCTTTTTGGTTGCTGAGGACGGCATCTGTGTCCAGAGAAACATGAATCAGTCACACATTATGACACCAAAGCATAATACTGTACACAATATTAGGGCTTACGGTAACATACAGTATCTCAACTCACACCCAAAAAAAGGGAACAACTTGCTTACCATAGCTGAAACACGTTGTGGTCTCTGTGTCTTGTAGAATGTCGCCGCTTCCATTCTTGTCAGAATTATGGAGTCGATGTAATTCTCTCAAAAAACTTGAGCGCTATTTATTTGTTACCTGGATTGCGATACTGACCAAATACAGCAGAATCCAATTGGTTAGTGTTGGAGTCAGAACTCCGCCGGGTCC